TTACTGACCTGCTGCAGCAGCAGCTGCTCCTCTCGCAGCTCTGGCGGGCATGCGTGTAATGCTCTGCTCCTGCTCCAGTGCAAAGTCCAGCGTGTCACAGCACACGAGCCGCAGGAGGAGGCCTGAGCTAAGCCGGGTGGTCCGACCCCAGTGCCCATTCTGGGACCCCACAGGGGCACCCCCTGCCTGCGTGCCCTGCCAGTAGTTGTTCCCTCCTCCCCTCTGCATGCCCTCCTTCCTCTCCTCTCCTCCTCTTCAGTGCCCAGAGCAGCTCTCGGGGAGCCAGGCTGCTCCCCTGGGGAGCAGGAGCAATGTTTCTTTAGGGGTAACAGCTACAGCTCGGCACCTGTAAGCAGACCCAGGAGGGGCACTGGTGTACCAGGCAGCCAGCCGTGCCAGTCTGCGGGCTGTCACCGTGATTATACTCCACGAGCAGGCGTCTCGTCCTTTAGTGCAAGAACTCACCACGTTTAATTGCACCGATTCAAAACGTTGTGTCTCTGATGAGGCTTACGCACACCCACATTTAGCCTACTGCTTTTAAAAATCCACACTTTTAGACGGCTTTTAAGTTGATTGATTTATGCCTATGGTATTGGTAAAATGGACAAACCATTTTATGAAAAACTCCAGTTTTCAGCTTTGCCCCCTTCTCTTTTCAAACAAATATTTCAGCCCTTGCATTTGAAGCAGCTGTTTCTAGCCATCAAGCCTCATTTCTCCATCCCCATCTGCCTCACAGTTCAGACAAAGCTTCTGAGAAGGCATGATCCATGGCAAAGCAAGTGCTGTGTCCCTTCCATGTCAGTCCATAGAGGAGATAAACATTTTTCTTCTGCCAGTTATTCTTAAGCGGCTAGGGACAGAACTGTGACGGATCCCAAAGTGCTAAGTTCAAGCCGCAGGCAGACCAAGAAGAAAGTTAAAAGCAGAGCTGGAGTTAGACTGTCTGGACAGTCCTGTTGTAAAGTGTTCAGTCGCTTATAACTTTTATGATTGGAACTGAAATTTTCCACTCTGGCTGTCTGCCAGAATCTGACCTTTATTATTATTTTTTTTTAATATGGCTTCAGCCTGCACATTTAATCTACTCAAAAAGAAAAGAAAGGAAAAAAAAAAAAAAAAAAAGCAGAGAGAAGCATTTTGTCTAGGACTATGAGGGAAAGCCACACATTTTCTGCAAGCACTGCTTTGCCCAAGCTGCCAGGGCAAGCACATGTGCTCCGCTGGCTGGTCTGGGCCCAGGTGGGGTGGAGTTGGAGCAAGGGAGCGCAAGGAGGACAGCAAGTCTGGGGACAGGTGATGCTAGAGCTGCTGTGTGGGTTAAGATAGAAGCAGTTACTGGAAAAAGAAGGGGTGGAAAAGGGAGAAAAGAGCCTTGACTGGCTGAATAACATGTCTAGACTGAAAGTCAGAGTATGTGGGATCAATAAAAAAAGACTGTACATGTACTGAAGCAGAGCTTAGAGAGAGGGAAGACTAGGACACACAAACTAGTCTTGGGATCTGCAGAGGAGGCAGGAATAGGGAGAGAGTGAAACAAGGGGAAAATGGGAGCTAAAAGTGTTGGGAAGGGAGTAACAGCACTGGACATAGAGATAGGAAAGAACAAGCTGTGACAGGCGCATGAAGGAGGCAGAGGGCAGGAGGAGCACTCAGATTAACTGGGCAAAGAGTTTTGAGATGGAAGGGCGGGCAATTAGCTGGACAAGCAATTGCCAGTATCTGTTCTGTTCTGGGGACACAGGCAAACCCCCAGGTTCCTTCACCTCATCACTCGGGAATTCCCATGATTTGGGAGTGCTCAGGCTGGCAGCACTGCTACCATGAAGTGCCAAAGGAGAGAAGGAAAAAGAAGAAAGGGTAAGACGGAGGGGATTCTACAAGAAATTCTGAGCTGCTTTTCTTCACAAAAACAAATGAGATAGTCCTAAAAAAAGATCTGCTTCCTTCACCTGCTGATAAATGACATCCTGAGACACAACAGAGCAAACGGACCCCCCTCCCCCCCCCCCCCCCCTTATGAGTGTCCACCATTCTCAGTGGTGGTGGTGCAAGGTGGAACACTGCGTCTGATCACCTGGGAACCTGGCCTGGGAACCGTGAGCATCTTTGGAAAGCACAGCTGGCATCCTTGAAGTGCAACTGTCTACCAAGAAACCAAAATATCCTGAGAAACCCTTGATAAAAGGAGAAAAAAAAAAAAAAATTTTTCTTCCTACAACAACAAAAAATAATGGAAAAATAGTCTTCAAAAGGTGGAAAACAGCCTGAGAAAATAGGAACAGGCAACATCTTTTGGTGGCTCTATCTGCAAAAACAGAAAAACAGCCTGGGAAAGTAAAGCTTGGTCTGAGAAAATGACAAACAGCATCATCTATTGGCTATTCCAGGTAAGAAACAGTTAGCAACATCTACTAGCTGCTCCAGGTGGCGGTGTCCTGTTCCCTCTTACGTCTCTAACATAAAAAAATCACTCGGTTTCCACCCAAAATGGAGCTTCTCTCTGAGATCTTTCCCTGCGTGAACTTCCCTGCTCACAGACTCCTGTTGTACAGACCGGACCCTGGCTGGGGACTGCACCCTCACCTGGCTGTCTGCAGAGTCTGTGCCTGGATTGCCTCTGAAGCCAGACTTCATCCACTGGTGATTAGTTTCACTCCTGGGAGAGGTTTGGTGAGAGCTGCACCTGGTAATTGTTTGAATACTATATATATATATATAGGCACACATGTAAGTTATTAATCATAAGTCTAATTGCTTTACTGGTGGTAGTTTGTTGTAACTTCTAATATCTACTTGCTTTACTAAAAGTAATTTGCCGTAATCTGTGATAAAGACATTTAAGAAACAAAAATCCCTGTGTCATTGTGTGTTACAGATTCCTACAAGCTCATCCTTACACACCTGCAAGCTGGGTAATTTTCCTCCAGGCCATGATACCAGTTCCCCTTACAATCACCACACCAGCCCTCCATGCTCACTTACTGCCCAGGCTGTAAGGGGTTTCTCCAGGTCTGCTGGTTGGGGTCTATCCAAAATCTTCTGAAGGCTCTGATTCCTCTCCTTTACCCACCTTATTGAAACACTGTGATGCTGTGGAGGGTGAAGTGGGAAAGGCTGAGGCTGACTGAGTGACGGAGCACTACAAGGTGTGCCATTCCCAGGCATGCTTCTCTCTCTCTACAACAACATCTGGCATGTTTGCTGACAGATGCAGTCACCCAGACTTGAAGGAGAAACAAGGATAGCAATAGGAAAACCCCGGAGGTTGTACATGAGAACAACATTGGATGTTAAAATTGGTCTTCAAGTCCTTCTGGTACCATCTTGCTTAAAACAATCCTTCCTTCACCAGCCAAATAAACTCCAGCAGCCAGCCAAAATCAGGACACAGCAACTTACCAACAAAATTTCCCGTTTGCCCTGCAGCAGTTGCATGTAGAGCTGAGTGAAATCTCACTTTCTGTGGTCTTTCACATTTTATGGAATCGCAGGCTCTTTTTATTTTATTTATCTATTTGTTTATTTATTTTTAACAGAGAAGCCATAGGAGCTACATTGTTTGGACAATGCTGTCAGACATATGGTTTGAGTTTTGGCTGGTCCTGTGCGGAGGCAGGGGTTGAACTCGACGATTCTTGTGGGTCCCTTCCCATGAGAGCTCTGTAACTCTGTGATTGTGACAGAGTTACAGAAAGTAATGCTGCCTCTCCTTGATCAGCTCACACAGAATTGTAGGCTGGGAACCCCCTCCTGTGCTGCATGAGGAAGGAACTTGAGATGGATTTGGTGCAGGATGAGGAGAAGCAACTAGCACTTGTGAGCTATACAGGTTTGGGAAGCTGTAAGCTCCAAGATTCAGACATGAGCAGGTTCAGGCAGAAGCAAAGCCCCATCTCAGATTCCAAAAGCATCCACTGCTGTGGCATGAATCCAAAGAGACAAAACGAAATGTCTTTCTGGACATTTTCCCTAGCATCAAAGCGCAGAGGCAGTGCTATGAAGACACTGCGTTCTAGGTAGGGTCACTCTTCTGTTACCACCTCAAAATGTTCCTCTGGGAAGGAGCACAAACATCTCCAGCAGCTTGCAGAGCTTCTGCCTGTTCCTTTCTGGCTTTGTTGCAGTGAGTGCCCTGAGAATCTGAAACATGAAAGCAGGACAACTACCCTCCACGACACTCGGCTGCTAGCAGAAACTCTGCAAGGAAAAGAGCTGACAGACTCTGAAATCCCCACCCACCACCCTGCTTAGCCCTGCAGGCAGGGAAAGCAGTACAAAGCTCAGCTGGATCCAACCATCAGCTCTGAGGAGGTTATTTCTCAAGACCACTAAAACCATCTCCGTGCTAAATCCAAGCCAGAAGGAGACATTTTTGATTTTAAATTGGTGAAGGCTACCTCCTATAGAGGACTGCAGAAGTCAACCCAAGGACAGGAAGAGAAGTGGTGAAAAAAGGCAGGCACAATCAGCTTCATCCCATGTTTTGGTGTCCCTGGGAAGCCACTCTCCTCCTTGAATTATGTTTTTGGCATAAATTGCCTCAGGTTTTTGGAAAATAATTGATTTTCTTAGTACTTTCAGACTGCATGTTTAGAAAATGACATAAGGGAGAACAGTATGGAGGGAACTGAGTAGCATAGGGTTGGGTTTGAAGAAAACAAAGCAGATGATTTTATGTGTGACAGGGCCCTTCCAAGCTTCAAAAATAACTTAAATTATGAGTCTGGACATCTTCCTTTGAAGCATCTATGTCAGCCTCCCTGTGGCAGTGATCTACTTATCAAATTGACAATATATTGTTACTGGCAGTTACTCTGAAACAGCTGAAGTTAATAAATACCATTTCTAAATTAAGTACCCAGAGTATTTTCCTATTGCTTCTCATCCATCTAATTCTTCCTTGTCCAGTAAGTCACGGCAACCTGCCCAATAGCTTGCTGCTCCCTCTTTAGAAGGTACAAAGTGCAGAATGACATAGAGCAACCTATCTTGCCTTTTTGTCTCTCTAATGCTTCTACTTTCAAAATTTTATTTTCACATTACTGCTGAACTATCATTTTCACTTTGATTATAACTGTAGGTGCTTTTGTTAAATAAACCTCACCTGACCGGCTGCCAGATCACACCGGTATTTTTCTGTCACTGCGTTTCTTCCCTCATCATCTCCCTTCTCTGGAGGCAGGTCCTTTTGGACCTTCAGTCGTGCATAGTGGTTGTGCAGGTTACACTCCAGATGCACAGATAAGGCAATCGGATCACAAAGTCAACATCTGATTGCCAGTCCAGCACATTAACGCCTCACTACCCATTGCAAAACCCTCCAAGACCAAACCAGCTTGTGGCATCACCGATCCTTTCTGAGCTTACAAACCCTTGCCAATAATTTCTACAAGGGTCAATGACACAGCCCTACTGTGGCTGCATGAGATTTCCCTTGCATGTCTCCCAAATTCAGTTCTCTCATAAGGTTTCCCATGTGCGTGCTGCCACCCAGACTCCCCCACATCTCAGCAGTGACCACTACCCCAACACACAGCAGTACGTTTCCCCAACATCTTTTTTTTTTAACCTCTCTGTCCCCTCTGAATAGGCTGTAACCGGAGACTCGAGCGCTGCAATCATGCAAATTGTCCCACTGTTATTATTATTATTTTTTTGTAATGCTAATTATATCAAATGGATGCTCATCAATAAGAATGTCTAATTCCCCCTGCTCATTATCCGGATTTCACACGCTGACAGAGAAGTGTTTCAAGAATCCACCTCCCCACAACACGGCGTTTGTGACCCCCTTGCCACCACCTCAGCAACCCCTGCCTCTGCCTGGAGCCCCCAGGTGACACCGGGCACCAGGACATACGCCAGGCTGTTCCTGGAAACCACTGCTCTTTTGACCCTTCTTGTAACAGCCCTCAGCTTGAGACTTTGGAGTTTGAATTGCAGAATTGCTTATGTCGTGTATTTGTGAATGAAATCAGTAGGAGCTGCATGGAAAATGTATACATGCTATGTAGCACTCCGAAAAGTGACATCTGAGGTAATTCAGAACATACGTATTAGCTGCAACATTTCCTGCCCATAAATTAGTGGTAATGCCATACTGGCTCACGGGCCTCTTGTGGGGGAAGTTAATTCAAATTTATGAAGGCACTGGATGCAGAAAGGACAAATCCTACAGAAAAGCATGGGGATGAGAAGATCGGTAGCCCTATTTGCAGAGTGGCGTTTGGATATGTGCATTAAAGTGCTCATAGTTTTGTGTACTGCATATGAGAGAAAAATAAAATAAAATAGCAAATAGCTACTTCTTTTTCTTCTTCTTTCTGTGAGCAGTGTTCTTCCTACGCGGGGAACAAAGAAGGGACTTTGTGGAGAAAACAATCTGTCATTGTGTAACCAAGGACAACCGCGACACCTATGCACAAGGAGCCCACAAGGAGGAAACTAATTCTGGCATTTCTGAACTGAGAGTGCAGGGCTTCGAAACCTTCCCAGCGAGGGTTTTCCTTTCCTGCAGCACTCCCGAAGTGTGCGAATCCAGCGTTTGCTGGTCTGCGATTAGGTAGAGTCCCCACGAAGGAGACGGGCCTGTGTGACGGGCAACATTACTCTGAGAGGCTTTTGGTGCTGCTCCTTTTGTTTTCCTCATCTCACACCGGGGTTTTGCTATGATGACAACAGAATTAACTCCCCTTCTCGCTCTGCTCCCCTTGATCCCCGCCAAAGAGGCGCTCACACCTTCCCTTCCTTCCTTTTACAGCCTCTTCTCCTTATTATCAATTTTATTATTTTTTTTTAATTGTTTTTTTCCCCGAGGGCTGAGCGGGAGACCCCCCGCAAATAACCCCGCGCCCTGCTGCGCGCTGAGCCCGGGCACTGCCGCAGCCCCGGCAGGGCCCCGGGGTGGTTTTTGGGGAATCCCATCCCCGGGTCGAGCCCCTCCAGGGGTCGCGGGGAGGCTCCGGGGAGCCGCCGGGGGTCCCGCGGGACGGCCCCGGCAGCGCCGCCGCCGGGAGGCCGCCGGGGGCCGCTGTTGGCCGCGGAGAGCTCGGGGCCGGGAGCCGGGAAGGAGGCGGCGGGGCCGGGGGGCTGCGGGGGGCTGCGGGCAAAGCAGGGGCCGGGCCCCCGCAGGTGTGTGTCTGAAGCTGGGACAGGCTGTTCCCAGTGCCACCCGGCTCTCAGGCTTTGGTCCTGTCATCTGCGTCCATTCCTGATGCAGTGACAGGTTGCTTTGTAGCTCACTGATGCCTTTACTTTTTTTTTTTTTTTCTTTTCTTTTTTTTTTTTTTTTAAACCTCTCAGAAGAGGTCTTTTCATCACCACTTTGTGGTGGAAAGTTTGATCCTTCCCCTCCGCCCCTTTCCCCCAGAGGAAAGCGCTTTCTTGTTCCCTCGCATTTCAGGGACTGAAGTGGAGGATGACTGCCTGCTCTCAGAGGCAAGCGTTTGCAGAGCAGGGAGGTGTTACGGCTTACACAGAAGGCTAGCTCACCATTCCCTTGCCACTGTCACTACCTGAGTTAAATAGGTTAAAGCACGGATAACCATCTTGGGCTTTAGCACATCCATTCCAATTACCCTCTGATAAAACTAGCAGCATAGCACGTTTTTTCCGTGATATTGTGCTATTTTTTCTCATCTTATCCAGAAGTCCTTAGAGACCACTATCCCATTGGGCAAGATGCTGGGCAAGGCAAACAAGCGCTCAAAAATGCACGCTCAAAAATTCACACTCAAAGATCTCTTGCACTGTAAGAGAAGAGGCAGCGGATGACAGGGAAACGTGGGAAAACACAAGGAAGTCCTGAGATGGTTTCGGTCAGCAGGATGGATGTACAGTGCTATCAGCACAGCAGTGGCCAGGCCTCTGCTGAGATTCTGCCAGCATTGCAGAATACACAAATTTTAAAGAAAGGCTTCAAAAGAAATTAATGAAAGATGAGGCTTAGGCTAACTAGTGATTCTCAGCTGCACAGACAAGGGCTACAGCTGCAGCTGGGAGTCAGTCAGGATGTCAGCAGAGTATGATCCAAGCAAGAAAATCTCTAAGAGTGGGTGATACTAAAGAAGCACCAGACATCACCGAATGTCACTATACTGTGAAGTCTTTAACCAGGATTTGGCAGGGTTTGGTGGTGGGGTGAGGGTTTCTCTCTTTAACACTTCTCTGTGCAACACTGAAAAATGCTTGGGATACCAAATCAGCATCTAAAACACAGGAGCAGAGAATGATAAAATTATTTAGGTTGGAAGGACCTCTGGAGGACAATTGTTTCAACTCCCAGAGACTGGAGTGCTGGGGGAAAGTACCCAAGCCCAACGCAGGGACAGCTTAACTTGACGAGGACATTTGTAATACGGCATATGTATTTTGTTGGAGGAATACTCCAAGTGGTGGGAGGCACACACAGCTAGTATGTGGTGGAAAGAATACAAGCAGTAATAAAAACAATTTTAAGATTAAGTCTGGCTTGTTCTCGGGCTTTTTTTTTTTTTTTTTTTTTTTTCAAGTGGACTTGCAGAACCCAGATTGTCTTTGGATTTCTAGAAAGCATAAAATTAATTTAGCATCATTATTAATAGTAATAACAACATGTTTCTAAATTTTCCAAGCAAGGAGCCATTTCCAAAAGTGGATGTCTGTTCTGGAAATCAAGAGACTTGAAATCCTCATGTACTTAAGACTTTTGCAGATAACCCAGCTGATCCACGCAGAATAAGCATTCTGTGCTCATTTGCCATCTCTCTGACCTTTCACTTGTTTAGTCTTACTTGATAAGAAGACATTTGTTTTATGTGCACATCTGCAAATGACACTAAGTGCAGGAGAGTAATGAATAGCAGCTTTTTTTCCCCTGACATACTTAGCAAGAATACTTATTAAAGAATTATTGCAATAGGACATAGAGGGTCACTTGCATAGGTTGAAAAGTCTCTGGTGAACTTACTTCCCCATTTAATTTTTCTTTCTTGAATACCTTTGTTCTGTGGGTTTTGTTTGTTTCTGTTGTTTTAAACACATGCTTTATAGTCGTTCTGTTTTGTGGCAATCAGTATTGTGCCAAAAGCTTTTTTAAAATGGGTGAAATGGGCACCATCATACCCTGGGTCTTTTAGATTTGTTTGTTTTATATGTACTCATTAAGTTATAAAGCAATATAGGGCTAGTGAGTCATTTCCCTTGAAGACAGTACATGCATGTTCTCCTCTTGCTTATCACCCCATGATGGAATAAAAACTTCAGGCAAACAAAGGCAAAAATGCAGGGAAAAAAAAAGAAAAGAAAAAGAAAAAGAAACAAAACTAGTTAACACGCACTCTCTCTGGCAGAGAATAATTACCAAAATCCCCTCCAGAATCCAAAGTGATTAAACTTGACTAGAATTCTCAAAAATGAAACAAAACTCATGCAAGCTAGAAATGGTTTAAAACCCAGAGGACAAAAGCCAGCAACCTACACTGGGCACACCATTGACTTTATATAACAATAATGGAAAGCCTTTAAAAACCCAAATTCAGAAACTTTCCCACTGCATGTAGTGTGGCCAGCAACATTCTTTATTGCTAAGTTGTTTGATGAGTTCCATTAAGAGATCAGCTTTTCAGTTATTTATAATTTTGTCAAAATATTTGAGCTAAAATTTCCTCTGCTGGAGGTGGTATATTTATAAAATGTTCCAGGTAAAAATAGTTTCGCTATTTTTAAGAATAAAACTACAAGAAAAGATGATGTTTTCTCATGTTCTTTTTGAGAAGCTCTGTGTTTTGGGAGCATGCTTTACCTCTGGCAGGGGAGCAGCTTCTTTCAGAGGAGCGGTGTTTGCCTGACAGATTCATTCATATTTGGCAAACTCGCAGGCCCTTGAACGATCCCTGTTCACCCCAGCTCTGGGGAGTTTGGTGCCTCTGTGAGGATGACAGCTGCAGAAGTATGCCCTGGAGGTACCTGTGCTAGGATGGTGTACGTGCATCCATCCCAGAGGTCTCCTGTGTTACCAGAAATGTGCGCTGGTGTCCAGGGAGCACCACCCTTGGTGCTTTCCCTGATATTTCCCAAATGCAGGGTGCTATTAGCAAGAGAGCAAAGTCAGAGACACCTTCCCTCTGGTGATTTTGGGGAGGGCTCCTGAAAAGCTCTGCTGGGAGCCTCAGCCAGGGAAGCTGGAGCTCTTCTCCTGAGGTGCTTTTGAACTCGTGCTCTTGCCCAGGGCTCCTGCCTCAGCTGTAATTGCAGCCTTGCTTGTGCCTGGCCACGTACCATGCTGATCCAGACCCATCAATAGGCTCCCAGGCTTGACCCAAGACCTGCTTTATCACTGTGCACTTTTCTGGCAGTCACCAGTCTGCGTCTGGCCCTGGTGACTGCCTCCAGACCCGGTCCTGAAGCTGACTCACCGCCTCGACTTCTTGGTGTGACCTTGGACCTGCCTCGTCACCGCGGGCAATCTGACAACCTGGATTCTCAGCTGAGCTCAGCTGCTCTCATCGTACACGCCCTGCACACCTCGCCTGTGTGCTGTGCCACGGGGCCTTTGCCGGTGAGGGCTGGTCCTCTGCCTGAGAGCACACCGGGCTCTCAGCTGCCTTCCTCTGGGAGCAGCCAGCCCTTGATGTTCCCTGCCACCTGCTGAGGGCAGGGAGTTGGGGTAGGGGCCTCCAGAGCTCCCTTCCCACACAAATCGTTCTGTGAATCTGCGGTGGTGATCTAGCCAAGCTAAAAGGAAAGAAAAAGTCAGCTTCTCTGGGCAGAGTAGGAAATGTAGCAGCAAAGGCATTGTGTTGATGCTCGGGTGCATGGCGATCTGGGGAGGGGAGAAAGAATGAGAAGAAGAGGGACAAGGAAATTTGCTGTAATACCACTCCACTACCCCATAAATCCCAAAACAAAGGAGTAAAATCAAACCTACCAGATGATAAGCACACAGACCTCTACAGCTACACCGTGTCACAAGTGATTCACATTCACACGACAGTCCTCAATTTTGAAAACAGGAGTACCTGCGGCCCCTCTAGCCCTCCTCCATCTCTCTCACTGCATCTCTCAGACACCATTAAATGTCCTTCATCTGCAGGGCTAGATTCTGGTGATGCATGTGATGAGAAAGGCAGCGCAGCTGACTTGCCCAGGACATATATCTCCCAGGTCAACCCGTGACACAAGTGTCTCTGTGGAGAGGCTCAGACTTCTTTCTGGAGGCATCTGTAGTAACAAGGGAGATTGAAAAGGGGGATCTAAATCTCTCTGTCTCCTAAACTGTATTGTAACACGAAATCTTGATGCATCACAATACCTTTCCCCCCCCAGTACTCACAAGGCAGGGATTTGAAATGTGATTCACTGCTAATTCAGAAGGTAGTCTCAGAACATGGACTTTACCCCAAACAACATTTCTCATCAACTTCCCTTACCATTCCTTCAACTCTTTCAACAAACAAAACCAACCAAACAAAAACCAACCAACTTCATACATACTGCAATGGACCCACTCTGGGGTGACCTGGGTCCTGCTGGGATCCAAAGAGAGGCTCAGTTGCAGTGCAAATGGGAAGGCAACCCTCGGTCACTAGCAGGAGTGAACAGCAGGTTGGTTGTTTTTTTTTTTTGGCATTACTGGTGCACAGCTGCATCCATCTCTCGCTTCTGGGCAGATTTATAGGGCTTTAGCATACAGTGCAGTCTGGAAAGCTTGTACAAACAGTGCAAGCAAATGTATTTCACTGTGGCCTCATTCCGTGACATCATTTCGCTTTGACAGTGAAAATCACCCAGAGCTGAAATCAATCAGCCTGAGGCCAAGTGACAAGAAAGTGCAAAGCAGTAACGTCAGTGAGATCTTCAGAAATGACCACGGTATTGGTATTCCCTCTCTCTCTCTCTCTCTCTTTTTTTTTTTTTTCCTGGGGCCATTATGAATGCTGAGTGTATTCTCAAGTGTGCTAGTGTTTCCCAAGCTGTTTCACTTAATGTAATTGTATAGCCATTGTGCTGCGTGTGTGTGTGTGCAGCTGCACAAGCACATTTAATGTACCTCCTAAACGTAGTTTTGCTAAGGTCTATGACTTGCTCTACAATTAGTAACCTATTTTCCGTGAGAGTACTAAATATTCAGCTATTCTCTTTGACTCTAACAAGAGTTGCTAAATGCTTCAACTCTTTTGGAAAATTAAGACATTTATTTAGGTGCCCCATGCTGGACCTAAGGCTGTATCTGAGGCATCTAAAAAAACAAGAAAACAAAACAAAAACTTTCCCTCAATATTTACTATTACATTCACCCTGTCAGCAATGAGTACTGTATCTGTGTTCTGATTATTCTCAAAATTGCTTATTGTTACAGTGCATCAAGGAGGTGCTCAGGCAGGATCAGCTTATCACAGGAACCAGACCTAGACACAGCAGACTTTTTTCAAGTACTCGTTCCCCACTATGCTTCCTGTACCAACAGAGTCAGGTGGGACCATGTCACCAATGTATCTGTTTATTCAAAAACATCCTTTCATCCTTCAGCTTTGAACCATCACATTCACCCACATACAGCCTGCTGTGCTCCCTCAAACAGCTTGCTAAGTTACCTTGGGCTGTTTTCCACCGTCTTGCTTTAATTATTGAATGGGCCACTCTGCAACTCGGTAATGCTACGACCTTCCTGTGGTTATATTTCTGAGTCCTCAATAGGGTCATTCAAAAATACTGCAGTAGGAAGAGTTGGAAAAGGTTCATTGGGACAGTTAACATTTTTAGATGGGAACTGTTTTGTTTTTGTGGCAGCATGGTTTTGGGCTGACTTTTGCTCCACAACCTGACTCTTAAGCATCCCTGCATCTGAGTCCCAGGTGTGTCCCTGTCGCAATTTCTTAAAGGTGTTACGGAAACCTTCAGTGCTAAAGTAGTAGATCAGGGGGTCCAGAGTGCAGTTCATACTGGCCAACAGCATCGTCCTAATTAACACGTCGCGCACAGAGGACTGTGTTTCTGGTCGTACTTTAATCACCTTGGCCTTTAGCAACCCGTACACTGCCAAGGTAGTGTTGTAGGGCACAAAGCAGATGATGAAGATGACCAGGTTGACCACGAGGAGACGGACTGTCTTCTGCTGTCGCAGGGTCCTTGTCTGGCTGGCCTGGCAGAGCTCTCGAAAGATCTGAATTGAGCAGTACGTCACAGAGGTCAGAGGCAGGAGAAAACCCAGGATTTCAGCCAGGACAACTAGGGGGAAGAGTTTGTTCTGCCACATGTTGTCACTAAAGCTTTCAAAACACAGATATGTGGTCTGGTTCTCTGACACACAGTGGTTTTGCTTGTGGTATATGGCTGTGGGGATGGAGCCCATGAGAATCATTACCCAGACAACGAGGCACAGGAGCCTGGCCACCTTGGGGCGCCGCAGATGCCGCCAGCGAAGTGGATGGACAATGGCGACATAGCGATCCAGGTTGATGCACATGAGGAAGATGCAGCTACCATACATGTTGATCTGGAAGACAGAGCCAGAGACCTGGCACAGGATCTCACCAAAGGGCCACTCGTGGTTGGAATAGTAGTAGAGCCGCAGTGGCAGAGGGAGCGTGAAGGTGAGGTCGCTCACAGCCAGGTTGAACATGTAGATCATCACTACAGACTTCAGGCGCAGGCAGCGAACAAGTATCCACAGAGCCACCACATTCAGTACCAAACCTGTAATGAATATCAGGACATAGCCAGGCAGCAGGAGGTAGTGCTGGTATTTGTAATCCTTGCACATCTGAGATGAGTTGTAGGCTAACATGCCCAGGGATGAGGGGAGGATCTCAATGAGATGGCTGAGACAGCTGGTGAGTTAAGAAGGTCCAAAGAAAAGCACCAAGCAAAGTCATTCCCCTTGAGGAAGCTCTGGGTAGGGCATTCCCCTCATCTGCAACTGGGAGGTAGATGGGCACATCTCTCTCTCTTGACTGGCACTGCTTTGGATTGTTGGTCAATGGTCATCAGGAAGGGATGGTAATGTAGTCAGCTTCTACCTCTAGTTCATTTATTCTTTCCAGTGGTTACGGGGATGTTGATGTGATGAAAGGTCATTTCCAGTTATTCAATGTCAGCACAATTCCTGGGCAGAGCAGAAAACCAAGAAATAAGAGTTCAAGTTAGAAGGGGAAATCTCTTGAAAGGTCAAAATCCCACCACGGTGGCTTCTATTGCAAGACTTTGTAAAATAATTGAAAGATGAAGAAAAATGTACAGTAGAAAAATGAGTGGTTAAACAGCAGAAGAAGCCAGAACACAGAGAAGGAAACTGTTGTACAGGATATGCACTTCCCAGAAAATACACATTGTTTTGATTGGTGCTGTGAGCACATGCATGCAAGAAAGGAACAGCACAAGAGCACACAGAGAAAGTAGTTAAGGCAGCTCAGGGTAGGCGGGGCGGGGGGGAAGGAGGAGAGAAATAGAGAAAGAAATAGAGAAATAGAGAAATAGAGAAATAGAGAAATAGAGAAATAGAGAAAGAAAGAAAGAAAGAAAGAAGAAATAAAGAAGAAAGAAAGAAGAAAGAAAGAAAGAAAGAAAGAAGAAAGAAAGAAGAAAGAAAGAAAGAAAGAAAGAAAGAAAGAAAGAAAGAAAGAAAGAAAGAAAGAAAGAAAGAAAGAAAGAAAGAAAGAAAGAAAGAAAGAAAGAAAGAAATAGGGAAAGGTTGGTTGGTTGGTTGTTTGGTTGGAAGGAAGGAAGGAAGGAAGGAAGGAAGGAAGGAAGGAAGGAAGGAAGGAAGGAAGGAAGGAAGGAAGGAAGGAGTTTGAAGCAAAAATGCTGGCTGTAAGGAAATTAGAAGAGAATAAAAACTGCATGGTAGTTTTGTATCAGAGAAACAGGACTTTGTACACCATTGCCAATAAAAAGAATGACGCTATAATTAGACTTGACTCCACCCTAGCTCCCTTTTGTAGGTGAAACAACCCATAGAAGTCTGAGTCCCAGCTAAGGGCTGGACCACCATCGATAAACTTCAATGGATTGATGTGTAGGGCCAAGGAAATCTTCTAGAAACCTGACTCGTTTTTCTAGAGATTTGAGTGCAAATGAGACCAGGGCATCCATCTCAGTTCCTTCCTCAGCATTTATAAGACAGAATAACAGGGACGATGAATAACAGGGTAGAAATGACTGGGCCTCAATTTCTCTATGAAATTTCAGCTAAGCACGAGGAAAGAGAGGATTTATGTTACAGTAGCTGAATTTCCTTGAGCATCTTACATTCACACAGTTCCTGCTCTAGCTCCTTTTTGGGGTGCTCTCTTGCATGGTATAAGTGGTGCCTATTGCAATTGCATGTCCTTACATGCTTACAACACCACAAAGTATGAAGAAGTCCATGTCCCACAGCCACAAAGAATGCCCAGGTAAAGAAGGAACACAGTAAAGAAGGAACCCATGGGATTAATGCAGACAAACATGTCCGTGACTCCTACGTAGTTTGAGGCTGGTAACCACTCTAGATTCTAGTGGTAGCACTGCCCTGACAAACATTGATCAACTAGACTAGGTCCAGTGGAAGGCCACCAAAAAGATCTGGGGGCTGGAACACTTGCCCAGTGAAGAGATGCTAAGGGAACTGGGCTAATTCAACTGAGAGAAGAGAAGGCTCCAGGTGACATAATAGCAGACTCCCCATACCAGCAGGAGAAAAGAGAAAAATTTTGCCTAAGTTGGATATTACTGTAAGAGGAAGCTCCTCAGCAACTCGACAGGCATGTCAGACCTTGTGGCTGGCATTGTAGGGTGATGCACAGGTCTAGAGGGAGTATCTATGAAAAACAGAGGAAGTGCATGCTGGTTTCATAGGTGGGAACTGAGTCAACAGTCTCATTGTGGTAACTATATTAGACAATGAAAGTGGAACTCAACTGTGAGAGAATGGGGATAAAGAGCAGAGAGTAATCAATTTGCCCTTCCTTTTGTGTCATTGGGAAGGTCCACCACCAAGCCAGTTTTCTTACAGAAACTTCTGCTGGTTTGTCAGGATACATTTGAATGGCTTTCTCCTTCTTTAAAAATGAATGACAACTTTGTGTGAATATTTGCTTAAGTTTAAAATATAGAATAATCCAGCAAAACAAACTGGAGATGTTTAAGGAAAAGTTGGACCTGGTGCTTAAGGGCATGGTTTAGTGGGTGACATTGGTGGTAGGGTGATGGTTGGACCAGATAATCTTGAAGGTTTTTTCCAACCTTAATGATTCTCTGATTCTAAGAATGTTGTTGGTTTCAAGTGAAATGATTAGATGCCTCAAAAAGAGAAACTACAGGGAGATATGCCAGCTTTTGCTACAGCCAAAACCCTGCAATGACTCCAGATTGAACAGATTGGAGAGTACCTTCATCTTGACTGAGACAAATTGAGTGAGACTCAGGCTCTGTGAGAAAACATGACCTTCTCCAACGCGTGCCCAGACCATCCGGCTGTCAGATGAAGGTGACTTGTCTAGATAGACAGCCTATTTTTGTCAGTTGGTATTTAATAAACACCTCTAGAGAATACAGTCTGTAAGCATGGTCCATACTGTGTGAGAGCAGTGGTTTATCTACAACTAATACTCTAGCTCAGATCATGGCTGATGAAGGAATAATGTAAGAACAGTACAATTATGCAGTGATACTCCTTCAAGTTCTCTTTCTGTTTCCAACAAACTGTGGCCCAGGGATTTCCTGAGCCAGAGGAGACATATTTATATTTAATAGTCCTCAGGGATCTTTTATTATTTTTTCCAATTGCTTTTTGAATCCAGATAAAATTTACCATCGACAACATCCAGTGACAGCAGTGCCAAGGTTTTCCACAGATTAATTACATCACATGTGAAGAACCGTCTCCTTATACCCACTTTAAATCACCACCAGCTAGATTCAGTTCCTAGTTTTAGTACTGAAAGAGACAGTGGAATAAAACATTCCTATTTACTTTCACCTTACCACTGATGATTTTACAAGCTTCTACCATACTTCCCCTCAGCGACTTTTTTTTTTTTTTGAGGCTAAAGGGTCTTAGCTTCTCAGTTGCTCCTCTTTTCTGAGTATCCGTTCTGTAACTTTGAATGTCCTTGTTGCCCATTCTCAGAACTTTTCCTCCTCTTCTACAGCCGTTGTAAGCCTTGTGGTGAGGGGCTCAAACTGTACAGACGGAGTGTTGAAGATATGTATGCACTGAGCTGAGTAGGCATAGAACTCATTCACAAGGAGTAATGGTAGGTTCAGATTGTTTTTTTCTCATCACTTAGCTAGATGAAATTTCAGCTGTTATTTTAAGGCCAGTCACTCACTCTTTTTCTAATCTCTGCGGTTCTTCTCAGCCACTCTCATCTTTTCTAACTTGAATAATTTTATGTCTCCAACAGATTTGTTTTTTCATTATTCATCCTTCATGAATAAATCAAACAGCCCAAGCCCCAGCATGGGTGTCTTATAACTCCATTGCAAAAACTGACCATCTACCCCCATTCTCTGTCCTGTCTTGTACCAACTTTTTATCCAAATAGGAATCTTTTCTCTAAATTTCTTTAAGCACCATTCACGAGAGCCCTTTTGAAAGCCTTTTGGAAACCCACACAGGCCACTGTTCATGTGCTTGTCAACTCCTTCACAGTATTCCAGTAGGATGGTGAGGCACAGCATCTCTTTACAAAAGCCATGTTGACTCTTCCCGAGTAATTAGATGTGACTGCATGCCAATTGATTTTTTTCCCCTTCTTCTACTGCTTCTACTAATTGTGTTCAGCACAGATATCAGGCTCCCTGGTGTAAAATCTCCCAAAAGCCTTTCCTCAAATTGTGCCTGTTAGTGAGCACCACAGATAGTCACTTCTTTCATACTTAAGTTGTTTTAGGACCACTGGGATAAGAGCCAGAGATTTAATAAGTGCTTACTTAATCTTGCTGCTTTATAACCCTTCATAACAGCATTTTCATCAGAGGCAGTCCTTTGATGAATTTCCCCTTAAAGATTGTTTCTGCTGTGGAAATCTTCCAGACTTTCCTGACATGAACACCGGGGCAATAAATCTGTTTAATTTTCTACTCACCTTCACCTTTTCCTTTTTCTGAGTGGTCTTTCCTTATATATTAGCCCTTAAGCCTCTGAGACACCAGATAGCAGAGTTCTGAACTGATAGCAAAGATCACTGGGAGTGAAAAATAAACTTTTTCTTTTTCTTTCAGGTGAATTGGTTTCTTTTTTGTTGGTGGATGGAAACACAGAAGCAAGAATCCTTGAGCTGAGTTTTACTAGAGGCTAATGATGGTGTTATTAAAAATAAGGTGATAGTCTCAAATCTGATGTAATAGATACTGTAATCGAGATGTCAAAGACCCAACTTAAGATGTGTTTGTACATGGTCTTTGGAAAGAGGAAGCTGTGGGGGCAGAGCACTTCTCTGCAGAGCTCTGAAGGTACAGCTTTGACTGCTCATCACTGATGAGGAAATCTCCTGATAAAGCAGGCTGGTAGCAGGGGGGCTGAAACTGGTTCAGTTATCCACGTCAGTTAATGTTCAAAGCCACTGGCAGCATTCATTTTGGCTGTTTCCAAAAGAACCTCAAGCTCTACAAAAAAGCTACTGAGAGGTCTCAAGTCATCAGCTGTGTCTACACAGGGAATGGTACCACAACTTGAACTAGCACTAGAAGAAGAGCAACCAAATAGATATTTTGACTCCAATGTTCTTCTACGGAAATAATATTCCTTGTGATGAGATGCTGTCTTGAAATCCTGAAGGAGCTTCCTATTTGGCAACTGACTTTAAGTGGCCCATGAGGAGGAGTAAGCATCTTTTCACCTTTTAGTGTAGATCAGTACGAACCTTGAAGGACCTTTTCCCCAGTGGAGACAGAAAAGAGTAATTCAAACTGCAGATGCCATCAAAGCAGATACCTCTTCCTGCCATGGCTTCAAGCAGAAATTGAATTTGTTGGTGGTGTTCTTGCTCCGGGAAGGGGACAGGAGGAACAACATGGACACGTGCATGTACACACATACTAAGCAAATTCTGCAAGGGAGAAGAAGAAACTAAAACGAAGGGAAGGCAGTGTCAAGGGAGGAAGAGGTGCTGGTAGAGGTGTGAAACGGAGGCAATGTTGACTGCTGATGATGTGTGAGGGGAGAGAAGAACACCATGCCGGTAAACAACCTGAAAACCAGTTAAAGAGAACATGTCACGCTCCCCTCCCACATACTTGTGATCACCCTGCATGGACTACAGCCAGCCACGTTGCCTCGTCCAAGTGCTTAGGAAGCTGCCCAAGGGCCATGGCTGGTCTGGGGTGCTCCTGATTGCCTCGTGGCACCAGCAGGGGACAAGTCACAGGTCAGACCCAAGGTGAGCACTTCCCATCAGAGGCAGAAAAGCAGCTGCTAGATCCCACAGGACATGCCAAACCTGTGGGACTTTACATTTTGGAGGGTGGGAAACCATAGCTGTACTTCCTTACAGGGGTTGAAACAGGAAGGCCTTGGGATGAGATGAGATGATGAGATGAGTTGAGCTGAGCTGAGCTGAGCTGAGCTGAGCTGATGAGATGAGTTGAGATCTCTCTGCCTAGTCTTAGGCATCTTCTCACAATACCTTACCTGAGCCACTGCTGCCTAGCACCACAAAAATTATGAATGACCACAGCATAGGGGGACACAGGTTTTTCATAGAATGGTCATCTAGTCTAATCCCCCTGACATGGGCTGGGACACCTTCCACTACACCAGGTTGCTCAAAGCCTCATCCAACCTGGTCTTGAACACTTCCAGGGATGGGGCTTCCACAAGCTCTTTGAACAACCTGTCCCAGTGTATTGCCACCCTCATCATGAAAAGTTACATCTTTATATCCAATCTAAATTCACCCTCTTTCACTTTAAAACTGTTGCTCCTTGTCCTATCACTACAAGCCCTGGTAAAAAGTCTTTCTCTGTCTTCCTTATAACCCCCCTTTATGTTTTGAAAGGCTGCAATAAAGTCTCCCTTGAGCCTTGTCTTCTCCAGGTTGAACAACCCTGACTGTCTCAGCCTCTCTTCATAGGAGAGGTGCTCCAGCCCCCTGATCACCTTTTGTGGCCCTCCTCTGGACTCGGTCTAACAGATCCATCTATTTCTTATGTTGCGGGCCCCAGAGCAGGATACAATCCTCCACACTTATGAGAGCAGAGTAGAGTCATGCATGGGGCAGGGAAATGAGGCGGAAAAAAAAAAGAGCTAGAAAAGTCTTGCCAAGCATGCCACAGAGTAAGTGTTTCTGAGAATGACTTGTTATTTCATCTCTAGTGCACTCCGGGGTTGCCTGTAGATGCAGGAAGAAAGCACAGCATCAGGTAGCAAATGTGAAGAGCTTTGCCAAAGAGAACACAAACTGCACAAGCTGGCTTAGTAGATCTGACACCAAGAGGAAATAACAAGGAGTGTGCCAGACCTCAATATAAAAAAACAACAACAAAACAGCCAGTTTTGTTTTAGAAATTGAAGGTACTTTTTTTTTTTTTTTTGTAAATGTGGATAATTTTTACTCAACGTAGGTGATATTTGAACCTCACTTTTCACCTTTATTTCTAAACATGAAATTAGATTATTGTGGTAATTAGAACCATGAAAGCTAAGGCTCGGGATGTCTTATCTTTTATGAGGTGCATGGCACCAGGGCTCAAACCTCAGTATATAACTCACAAGGACTGATCACACTGGTACTGCCTGCTCCCTAGAGGTTTCACCCACCCTCATCTCGTAAGGGCCCCATGGAAGAGGACTTCCACTGCGGGCACCATGTCAAGCAAGCTCTGCAAGCTGCTGACACTCTTACTATCAGGAGACCCCAAAGAAAGCCCATGTTTGAATGCACACTGAGATTTGCCACGCAATTCTCGACTCAGTGGGTGACCGAAGAGATGTTAGGGGTTTCCCTGTGCCCTATGATCAGTTGTGGTAGCACCTGCCCAACACTCCCACACCATCCTGCCTGTGAGCTGCTTCTGTCTCACTTACCTGTCTGCTGGTGAAGAGCTGAGGGTGCATGAGAGCTCGCTGTCTGCTCACTGCAGAGATTTCAGTTCATTCACCAGGGCTGCCAGTGGCTTGAAATACCAGAGAACCAAGCAGGCTCTCTGTCTACTTGCTTATCCAAATCACGTCCGTCCCCACTGCCGTGGCTGGTTCTATATCTGTCAAGCTGCAGTTCATGATCCCTCCTTCCTCACTTCCTGATGCACTGGCCACAGAGCATGAACTTTGCTATTTAAGGCTGATAAGCTAAAAGACATTCTATGAGAGCGATTGCAGTTGTGAAAGACGCAATCCTCAGGTGCACTAGAAACAGAGGAGGCATGCCCTCAGTCACCATGCCAAATATTTCTTCATCTTTGCCCCCACGATAAGGCAGCCACCCCCACGGCTGAATTTTCCACGGGGGAAATTAACCCCCCCCCCTTCCCCACAACATTGCCAGACAGAAGTTAGAAGTGAAATATGGGAAGTGAGAGCTAGTGCGTGCACACAAAGGCTTTAATCACCAGACAGCACAGTGGCTGGGCGTCCTGATGGCCCCTGGGGGGGCACTTTGGGGCAGATGCCCTGCCCAGGGGCGCAGCTTCACACGGCTGGCAAGCATCAGGGACCCCAAATAACCGAGCTCGTGAAGGGGCTGTCAGTGCCTGCAGTAGGCAAAGGCACGTTTGCCACGAGTGTCATCCCTGTTGGTAGAGGCATGGTGCCACGAGACCCAGCATTGCCAGGCAGGGCTGGGAGAGCCCATCTGGCACTCTGCTGCTTCCTGAGGTCCTGTCTCTGCTTGGTGGTCCCAGCATACCTGGAAGAAGGCGGGGACCATGGGAACGCTCCTATCCTGACCGTCGTCCTTCCCCAGGAGAGCTGCTGCCTTCTGCCCCAGATGAAGCTCACGGGCTCCCAGCACCTCCGCCTGCTGGCTGTCACGGCCAATGTTTGACTTTCTCACTCCCTGTGCCCCTTGTTCTGCCTCATTCAGGGAGTGACACTGATGAGGGATATATCTTCCTGCTGCTCGTAAATCCTCGGAGGGTACAATAGCACCCGAACTGCTGATTTCACTCTGCTTTGCTTCACTGTCTCTCTCTTTTAACCAGTCCCCCTTTCTCACTTCCTAGTTGCTGGGATCTTTGTTCTCATGACTCTTTGTGATTTTTTTTATTTTTTTACTTTATTTATTTTTTTTTCTCCCCAATTCCTGCCAAGTCTCTTGTACCACGAAAGACTTGCAGATCTATTGAGGAGCAGGGGGGGGGGCTTCACCCTTTGCAAAAAGAAACCCTAAAACCTTCTGCGGGGCCTCACCCCTCCCCTGAGCCTCTCGCTGCCTTCCCCCCACCTCCCTGCCGCAGCCTGGCAGCCCTGCCTGCACCTCATGTGTCAGAAGAGCTGCCCTGCGTGTCCGTGCCACCCCACTGCATCCCTCACACCTTGCTCCCCAGGTTCACTCACCTCGCTGGGTCTCAGAAGCCCACAAACGCCACCCTCCCAGGTGGGCTCGTGCCCAAGCCCCTCAGCTGCTGCCCCTCGGAGGTTCAGCTTGCAGGGCCGAGCAGCGCAGCCCCCAGCGCTCCTCGCTGCTGCCTGAGCCTCCAGCAGGTAAGACCAGATTGCTGGGGTGTGTGTCGGAGGCTACACCCTGGTGCTGCTGCAGATCCCAACATGCCCACCGCCGCCGAGCACCGGCTCCAGAAAGCAGGAGCAAGGACCAAAGCGGAGCTGGGAGCTGGGAAGATGAGCAGAGAAACAGAAAGCCTGCCGCAGCAGAGCAGTGGCTGGGGTTTGGGAGGATGCCTGATAAACCCCAACGCTTTTCAGACCTCGTTGTGCAGGCAGATACAGACAAGCACAGCAAAGGTGTTAACCTGCATGCAGAGGGGATGGAAGAACAAGGCCAGAGCCACAGCGTTTTGCTCTTTGAATGGTTCCGAGAAGGAAAGCAGAAACCTCAGGGCTGGGTGAGGATTATCACCTTGCAGAGACAGCAGACGGTACTTCCCCGGCTGAAAGGGGTCCTGACACAGGGGATAGGGGGTATACAAGGGAGACCTGCCAGGGAAAGAGTTAAGAGGGCTGGGAAGCTGCCGGGCTCCGTCTGTTTGCTGTAGCTATGTGGGCTGCAGGGTAGGGAAGAAGAATGTCCAGGCTGGAGGAGGCAGATTTGGGAGCCTCACCAAGGACAGTGGCTGGGGAAAAGGCAAGCAGCAGGTCTTCCCCTCTCTGCCCTCAATGACTGCCACGGCAGGGAAAGCCTCTGGTTCCCCAGGGCTTGATGACAATGCGGTGACGAGCTCATGTATCTAGCAACAGCTGCCTGCACCCGTAGAGTTTCTAGACCCTCTGGGTTGAACATCTGCGAGGCTTTTCTTGCATGGAAAGATCTGTGTGCTGCCAACGGGATCTTGGGCTGCTTCCTGCTGATGAAGTGAGTTGCCTACGAAGGAAGACGACCAGATCACCTGCTTACAGGACATCAAAGACCAGGGCTCAGGCAGTGATGCCATCCCCAGCCCTGTGAGCTACCTGTGATGGGTGCCCACCTCAGAGCCCTGTTTCAAAGCTCTTCCATAGCACTGGCAGAGCTGTAGGGGACAACACTGCATGAACGTGCTCCATCCAGCTGGTTCTGTGGGCCACCAGGTCTCTCAGGTCGCTGGCAGGGATTTGGGTGCCTGCTGCTTTGTGGCTGAAGGTGGAGTTTGGCCAGGGACAGGATGGAGATGGTGTGGCTATGCACGGTGCTGATCCTGATGCAGCACGTCCTTGCCGTGACCTGGCTGTAAGTATACTTTGCACTTATACTATATAGGTTGAAAAGTCACCTGGGGAGGTGTTGTTTGTGAAGAAAACGTGCGGATCTGCGAGAAAGGTGTGGGAGAAGGAACCTTGGCAACCCAAATGAAGCATTTGAGAAGGAGCATCTCTGTGAGCACAAAGGGAGAGGGGCAGTGACATGGAAGAGATGCAAGCAGGGGAGCAAAAATGTCCAATTTGCCACAGAGAAGAGGGTGCACATCCCCTTCCCTGCCCATTTTTCCTCTAAAATAGAGCTATAGAGGGGTAATCCTCTGCAGGCATGACCCTGTCTCCAGCCCACCTGTGACTGAGACTCTCTTCTGCCTTACAGGCACCTGGCCAAGCAGACGTCCCTGCGGGGGGCCCTCAGGGACCCCGGTGTCTGCGCAGGTCTGACGGGGCTGGTGGAGGAGCAGGTACGGGTTTGCCGTCGGCAGGTGGAAGCCATGGAGGCGGTGAAGCGAGGAGCAGAGCTGGCTGTGGAGGAGTGCCAGTACCAGTTTCACTCTCGCCGGTGGAACTGCTCCACCCTGCAGGGGCTGCAAGTCTTCGGCAAAGTCGCCATCCAAGGTCAGCAGGGGCAGGCTGAGCATGCAGGGTTGGCATGGGGTCCCTGCAGTATGCAGGGTGGCTTGGTGTGGCTTCCTTCACATGCTAACACAGCAGTTTTGGAATGGCATGCATGTGCTACTGCAAATATTAATATTCTACCTAAATTTCACCATTTGGCCAGGCCTGGCTTTTAGGTCCCATCTGGACCATGCTGGGTATCAGCTCTGCAGGCTGGCAGATCTTGCCCCTAACCCCTGCCACCATCCCCCAGGAATATCAGATCAAATCGAGCCTTTTGCTTTAAGATCACAGTCCTTTTTTGTTTCATGCCTGGCAAAAAGGCTCTGCCTGTGTCTCCAAAACCAGTCTGCACAGGTTTTGCACATGCTTCACATACAGGGAGCAACAAACAGGGTTTCTGTGGCTTCCCACCCCCAGGCTCCCCTTTTAGCTGCCTCTGGGCAGCAGGGCTGCTGACTTCTCTGCATCAATGGGACACGAGGCCCAGGAGCTGGGGGTGCTGCAGGCTGGCTTCAGGCCTCAGGAACCACAGCACTGGGTGAACATCCTGATGGTGATTTCTCCTAAGCAGTCTTCAGCTGAATGTATTGATCCAGCCTGCATTTACAGCCTCCCTCCCCTGCTGCATCCCACCAATTCCTTCCCCCTCTCCACAAGGGAGAGCACCGAGCTCAGCAGAGCTCAGCCTTTTCTCACCCCGCTGCAGGCACACGGGAATCAGCCTTCATCCACGCCATCTCCTCTGCGGGTGTTGCCTTTGCCGTGACCCGTGCCTGCAGCCGTGGGGAGCTGGAGAAGTGTGGCTGCGACCGCAAAATCCGAGGAGTCAGCCCTGAAGGTAATGGAGGAGGCCAGGAGCAGAGTTGAGGTGGTAGAGGATGAGATCCATGGGGCAGGCCCTCACCAGGGGAAGTGAGACCTCATTTTGCTTCACAGCCCCCTTCTGGAGCTCCTCCCAGAGCCTCTCACTTTTCATCTCACGGCTGCTTTCCCTCTGCAGGTTTCCAGTGGTCAGGCTGCTCTGATAACCTGTCATATGGGATTGCCTTTTCTCAAGCCTTTGTAGACAATCCCGAGAGGAGCCGCGGCATCTCTTCCAGCCGAGCTCTCATGAACCTGCACAATAACGAGGCGGGGAGGAAGGTAAGGGCAGGAACAAGAGCTGGGACTCAAGCCCAGCTTCTGGGGCTTTCTCCTTGGCTGGGCAGAGCTTGCTCCAGCCCCTTATCCCGAGTAGCAGTTTGGGGCAGCCACAAGCTCACAGAGCAGGTCTGTGTCCTGCTGCCTTGCTATGCCTTGCCTTGCCTTGCATCCTCCTTTCTCCCCTTCCCTTCCCATCCCTCTGGTTGATGCTGCCCTCCAGCTGAACACCCCTTCCCGAAGCCCCCCAGCCAGGCCCCATATGGGAAGGCTGGGAGGGAATGGAGGCTGCCTGGGGCTCACAGGCACGGGGCAGGTGCCCCACATTGTGTCCCAGATCTGTCTGGCAGACACCTTCTGCTCCCCAGGCGCTCCTGGCCCACATGAAGGTGGAGTGCAAGTGCCACGGCGTGTCAGGCTCCTGCGAGCTGCGTACCTGCTGGAGGGTCATGCCCCCCTTCCGCAAGGTGGGCAACGTCCTGAAGGAGAAGTTCGAGGGGGCGACTGAGGTTCACCCACAGCGGGTGGGTTCCCGCAAGCTGCTGGTGCCCAAGAGCTCTCGCTTCAAGCCCTACACAGCTCACGACCTGGTCTACCTCTTGGCCAGCCCAGATTTCTGTGACCGGGACCCCCGGCGCGGGGTCTTCGGTACCTCTGGCCGACAGTGCAACCGGACATCCCCGGCCATGGATGGCTGCGAGCTCCTGTGCTGCGGCAGGGGCTTCCACACCACGCAGGCCGAGGTGGTGGAGCGCTGCAGCTGCAAGTTTCGCTGGTGCTGCTCCGTCAAGTGCAAGCAGTGCCGGCACCGGGTGGAGGTGCACAGCTGCCGCTGAGGGGCACCGGGGGGTGGCCGGGGTACCGAGCAGAAGATAGCCCAGGGAGAGGGCCATGGGGTGGGGGGAGGCAGGGTGGGTGTGGGGGAAACCTGTCTGGGTCTCTCTCCCCAGTCTCATCAGTTTTGCAGTTTAAACTTGTTTTCCAGATGGAGGGTTGGAGGACATAGGCCCCAGAAACCCTTAAATGTTAGAAATAAAGCAGCTGCAATGGAAAGCAGAGTGTCTACGTTAACTCCTTCCTCACGCGCCGTGTTTAGACCTGGAGGGAACCTTGCCCTCAGAGCCTTGTCACAAGGGCCACGTGGGCAGTGGTGAGCAAGCAACACCAGTGAGCCATGCAGAGGGAAGTGGGGAGCCCGCTCAGATGCGAGAGGGGTCTCCAGGGGGTCTGACAGAGTGGCAGCAGCAGAGAGAAGGGCACAAGTTAGGTTTGTGGTCTCATTTTTATAAAATAAGACTCAGCCTTGAGAGCGTTACTGATTCGTATCGGCCTGCAGGGGCAGGAAAGCCAGAGGTTGCTGGGATCTTCAGGCACTTGGGCTGGTGGGTCTAAATCCACGTCCTGGGGCCAACGCCTTCTCCAGTGCTCAGCCACTCCTTCGGCTGGAGAAAACTCTTTCAGGAAGGAGTTTGAGTAGACAGCACAGTGAAATGCTGTTGAATGTTGCTCCCATCCTGGTGTGTTGCTGCCATGAATGCAGAGCAGGTTCTCAGGTGGCAAGACCTGGCCACGAGGAGTCTCTGGAGAGCCGTCCGAATCTGTCCAGGTTCTCCACATTGCCACGGCTCTGGAGAGCCTGCTCTGGAGCCCTGTGCCTCATGTGCGTCTCCCACCACCATGCCTCACCCTTCGATGAGGCTGAGGAACCTCTGGTGCCACCGCCTGACTTCCTCCTCTCCCTCCTCCTTGCTCAGCACATGGTAAGTCTGGTTTCTGAGGCAGCCATGGCGAACCACCTGAAAGGAGAGCCTGAGTTCATAGGGTTGGTACCACTGCCCGTCCTTCCCCTGGCAAAGGGGACTCCACGAGGGGTGGCATCTTCCAGCAGCCGTGTAGGTGGGACAGCCCTCCCCAGCTCACAGACACAAGAGAGGAGCCCACCAGAGGGGAGAGCCTGCTTGGGAGCGCTGGGGAGGGGATGATAGCTGAACTGTGTTTCCCTGCAGGATGCAGAATAGTCAGCCCTCTGTCCTGCTCTGGGGTTTCTGGGTTTTGTTACTGGCTAGGAAGCACACAGTATATGGGGGAGATGCTCCTCTGTGAGAGGAAATACAAGAACACCCTGATGGATGGGAGGCTCCCCATGGCTTCCTCTGTCTGTGAAGACATCTCTTACTACCTCTGCACAAATCCCACTGCTTCAATTACATATCAGCAGACCCTCTGTGCTTGGGTCAGTACTTTTGATCCCCCTCCCCAGACACAACAACCTGTGTGCTGTTGGGAGGAAAAGCACTGGGCCAGTGAGCTCTGCAGGGACTTGGAGATGGCTGGAGCATGCGGGGCCTTGGAGGAGAAGGCAAGGTCACAGGCTGCTTCTCACCTTCTGGTTGTGGAGGCTGTGCTGCAGACACTGGTGGCTCTTGAAGGCGCAGTAACTGGGGTGCTGAACTCCACCCGAGTCGCAGATCTGGGGAGATGAGAATGAAAGCCAGGGGTGGGAGAGGAGAAGGAGAGATGGGAGCACCCACCCGGCACCCACCTGGCTTGGGGTGTCCCCGGCTCGGAAGGCGGCGTACTCTGCCTGCAGCCAGAGCATCACACGAGGGTCATCGCAGCCCTGGGTGGCTATCTGGCTGCACCAGTACTCTGCTCGCAGCCCCTGGGAGAACTGCATGCCGTAGGGCTCTGGGAAGCCGGTCTGCAAAGGGGTGGGATGAAGAGAGATGTGCTTCTTCCTCCCCATCCCCACCACCCATCGCACAGGTGAGCTGTAGAGGCGGCGTGCTCAGTACCTTGTTGCCCATAGCCTGGTGCTGGGCTGAGATCTGGGGGTTGATGTAGGTGATGAAGTTGCCTTTCCCACAGTGAACACGCCTCAGGTTGTTGGAGTTCTGGCATTGCTCCCTCTTCAGTGAGCAGAAGGCACAGTCAGGGCACAGGTCCATGTGCCGCCGCCCAAGGCTGTCGCACACCTAGGGTGGGTGCAACGGGGAGGTCAGGGAGAAAAGAGGCAGCTCCCGTAGCCCTGCTTGGGTCTTGCCTACCCAGTCACCCAGCTCAGCTGCTCCCAAGAGCTGGTACCCGTAATGGCAGTGCTGGTGAGCACTGTCACTACTACAGGGAGCTCTGCACACAGCGGGGGGCAAAGATGGGCTTCATCATCCTTACCGAATCTCCAAAGCCGAGGATTTTTCCTTCCATCTCCTTCCAGGCCTGGGTGACAACTGATGAAACACAGATTCCCTCCAGCACTGCATAGCACAGGATCATCACTGCTTCCTTCTTCTTCAGGGCTAAAAGGCTGGCAAAGAAAGGGATGGAGTAAGTCAGTTCTCTTCCCTTGTTGTGAGCTGAAGAGATAGACCCTTAGATAAAAACAGAAGGGGTGTGGGGAGGAGGAGGTGCAATGGCAGAGTTCAATCCCAATGCAAAATGAAAAAAAATCACACCACAAAACCCTTCATGAAGAAGCCTTGGAGTCCTGGCCAAACTGCACAGAGGAGTGGGGATGTCAGCAGGGTCTGCATGTGCCTGTGTAATGTGTAGGATGGGGATGCATTCAGGAACATGTAAGAGGCACTGGACAGGCGCAGGTTTGGGAACTTTTCCAGGACCACCGAAGCAGCTGCTGTGTAGTTCTGTCCGTCCAGCTGCACAGCAAAGGGATCTTTGTTAGAGGCTGCTGAGTGTTGGTCACAGGGCAGCCCCACTGGGGTCAAATGGACAAATTATTAAGCCTCTCTCCAGCTTGAGACAATATTTTTGATGGAAAGGGGAATAAACTGGTAATGATGGTGAATTAAATTTTCGTTCAGACTGATGTGGGAAGCCAAAGGTAGAAAAATTAAGGACAGTATAAGGACAGATAATGACAATAAGAATGTTTTCCACCTTAGGAACAGCAGAAATCATAGACTGGTATTAGACAGGGATAACGTGAATTATCAGCAATGAAGCAGAAGAGGTAAAAACACTCATTAAATATTTCTCATCTCTGTCTGGAAACAAATCCAGTGATAAATAGATAAATTTTTTATCTGGCAGAAAGTAAGAAGAAAAAAGCAGCAATTACTTATATTAAAATGTTCTTAAAATCCATGCATGAGATAACCTGTATGGAGGATTTGTCCTAAGATTGACTGAGACTTTTTGGAGGCCTTCAGACTAGCCTTAAAGAGAAAAGAAATAGGTGGAGAACCTGGAGGGAGGTCATTAAGACGAGATTTCCTGCAGCCTGGAAAACTTTCAAAGTGAGAAGCTGAAGAAGCTGAACTTGGTTGAGCAAAGGCACTACTGAGTGGCCAGTCAGTCAGTCTGTCCTTTTACCAAGGTGGAGGTCAGACGGAAGAGTCTGTTCATCAGATGAAGAGCAATGACTTACAGCAACTGGAATTCAGGGTGAGATGAATTCAAATCAGAAATTAGCTGCATGAAATGAAGGGTGTTTACCGTGGGAGCAGCTTATGAGACAGTTTCTCTGTGGCTCAGATAAAGATTGATAAAGATATCCCTGAGTTCAGTCAGAAGGGCTACAGCTCAGCCATGAGATACTGCTTTTTCTTCAGGAATCCCCAGACATGGCTTCACGTCCTCTGCTGGACATCAGAAAAATTTGCCAGGTTTGAAGGCCAAAAGAGATCAATCTCCCTGCCATTAAACAATTACATTCTGTGAAAAGAAATAATGCTGTAAGGAGCAACTGGTGTTCACAGATCCATGCACAGTGGAGCAGTTTATACTGTTTGTGCTGAAACCTGTGAACGCCAGGCATTTGCACTGGGTTTGAGTGTGCTCTTGCAAATATGTGTGAGTGTCAGGACTTGGGAAGAAGTTTTGTGCACCTGTGTAAGACGACACATGCATATATGCAGGTGAACATGGGCATTTACCTTGTTTGCTCTGTACATACATATGTACATTTAGGTACAAGAGAACCTGGAAAATCTTGTTTGCAGAAAATATCATGAATGTCTCCATACCATTTTTTTAAAAAGACATTATGGTCAAGCCTGTCTTATCACAGCGCTGCAGATGCTGCTTGAGCCTGCACTGAGACAAGAGAAGATGTTGTTTCAACACACATTGCTGTGCTGCGCTCTGGACAGGCTGCAAATGGTATTCCGAGGGTACAGACACATGAACAAATTGCAGCGGCGCCAACCCACCGCACATCAACAACATCCACTGGAAAAATGAGGGCAGTTCAAAACCTAGAAATCTATGCACTGCAAGCCTGTGCATATATTACTGCAATGCACCACACCGTGAACAACCTGGTCATATGTTTGTGGAGGGAAGATCTGAGCTCAGGAAAGACAAAAGAATGCAAATTGAGGACAGCACTAACAGACACAGCTGGAAAGAATGAAAATGTGCCAGTGAAAAAAAGGGAAACAAAGCCTGCTCATCCTGGAGAGAGCCCTTCCAGCACCTGCAAGACCCTTATGCCTACTCCTGTACCCCATATAATCTTTCTTTTCTCCATATAATCTTTTTTTTTCTTGGTTCTTCTGCAAACACTCATAGGAAAGCTTTTGAAATTTTAGCAAAAAAGTACCTCTGGTCTGTACTGATCCCACATGAAAACCCTGTCTGTGGTTGTTTAATAAAACCCCCTCAGCGTTTTACTGTGACTGGATGCTGGCCTTCACTAGAAGAGGAAGCAGGGACAGCCCGCGGGCACACCTAGCACTTCTCCTCCATAGAGGATTGCTCTTTGAGTGGGAATTACCTAACGCTTACAGTTTCTCTCTCTCAAGCAGCTGCTTCAGAGCAGCCCATGAGATCCAGATTTCTTTGTCCTCTGTGCTGATAAACCCGTGACAGCTGAAGGGAGTCCCTGCCAGCACTCAGAAGCCTGACTGCTCATTCACAGTTGGTTCTTGGCCTTTAAAAACTGGTAAATTAGCTGGGTCATCTTGGTGGGACTCAAAAATTTGATTAATTTGATTAATGACCTGACATGATTCTCCAAAAATTACATGAAACAATTTACCCACAAATATATCATCATTGCCTCTTGTTCCACTACCCACTTTTTATGCCAGTGGCACATTTTGATTTTATTACTTCTTCATCAAGCCAGGATGATCAAGCCATTAAAGTGAGAGGCATATTAACAGTCATTAAACATGGTACGAATAGCTCTGATGTTTTCCTCAACAAGGTAGAAAAACTGTCCAGCTTGTTATACTTTTTTTTAAAGATACTAGTAAATAATTAACAACCTAAAGCTTAAAATGTGGCTTCTACTAAATGGGTTTAACAACCTTTTCTTGCTCCTGCACATGCACCAGCCCAACAAGTGCTGCCCAAACAAGATGCAAATAGAGGACTGCAAGGAGAAGGGGCAGTAAAAGGGAACTCAGCCCCAGCCTCTTCTAGGAAGAGTGCTTCCATAAGTAGCTCATAAGCAGCAATAAAACATCTGCTGAATGCTGATGACCTACTTGGTTCGGAACAGACTCTGTTCTGAGTCTGATCTCTTCACCCAGGTCAGAAATCCCCGCACTCCTAAGCGCTGCCCGCTGACACTTTGCTGCTGGCCATGTTTGCAGAAGCACACAAATCGAGTCCATGGCATCCGCTCACCCATCCAGGAAATCGAGCCGTGCCATCTGCCTGAGGTTACCAAGAAATTCTGCCGCTCTCTATTTCACATCCATTTCCTGCTCTATCTCTGTTCTACATCTCCGCTGCGAGGCTTTCTGGCCACAAGGGCTGCATGTTTATCTGTTGGTTTACTAGCACCAGGTGGGTGAGGTAACTCTACATCATCCCCAAGTAACAGCTAGCCCCTGAAAGCAGCTTAGAGGTAGCAGGGGAAAGGTTCCCATCCCACATCACCAGGCCCAGGGACAGGTCCTGGGCTCCTCCCTCACTTGCCAGCACCCGCAGCCCATGATGCCAAGGCTCTGGGTGCACCCATTGCCACCGCTGGTTTCCTGGCATGACAGCTGGCAACGTAATGCTCAGAGAAGCCCCCTGCTGCTACCTCTCTCTCTAAAAAAATAGAGTTGAGAAGGCTCTGTCATCCAAGATCAGTAATTCCTCAATGGCTCAAAGAGAGAACTTTGGATGAAAGCCCATGCTGTTTTAGCAACTCAAGGCATGGCGTGACGCATACTCAGCCTACTTCACTTCAGTGGTGTCTCTGAAGAGGGCTGGTTGACAACATCCACTTCTCCCTCAACATAATGACAAGGATTTGGGCCATTAACTTTCGGCTGCTGAACCTCCCTGCTATTAGCAGGCTGCGTGAGGCAAGCAGAAAAGACGATAAGGAGCAAACAACAGCTTTCCAGCACTTTATGACTTCTGACTTGTGTGGGTTGCTGTAGGAAACTAAAACCACTAAGGGAAAAGCCAAAGTTAACAGCCTCAGATAGAAAAGTAGATTACTTTTTTTAAAGCATACCCATACAGTACATTGTATGGTTATAATGTTATAACGTTATGAAGCCAAAAGGTCTTTGTTGATGCGTTGTGTCACCTGGAGCAATATCTTCCAGCCCATTCACAACAGAGAAGGGTGCTTAACAATACATATTAAGAATAAATCTTTTTGAATCGGTGAGTATAGAAAACATCTCTAATTCTTAGTGAGCCGACCAAGGGGATCTCTGGCCACCTGACATCACCTGTGACAACTCAAGTCCCAGCGATGCCTTGGCAGCCTGCAGGTGGCCCAGATGCCACAAAGACAAGACCAGCAGGTAATTGGGTGCAGGAGTCATTGGAAGAATGGGACATAACACCTGGCCAAGAGCTAGCGGATGCAGACTCTGGGAAAATTTGTATTCTTTAAGCAATTACACTTTGGGGTAAACTTTTGACATTACGTCACCTCAAGTTCCTGTTGCAAATGTTAGCCAGTGCAAAAAAGCCCAGCCAGGTCCTTGTTAAATAGGAGGCTCTGGTTTGCAGGACCTGAGGTTTCCAAGTGCTGGCGGGGCAGCCAGTTTCATCATTTGCCTGGATCCTTTGTACCATGAGACCTAACTCCTCTTCAAAGTAAGCCACACGCAGTGATGACGTGGAAACAATAAACGGGCCCTGGCCTTACCAAACAGCCAAATTTTCAACAACAACAACAAAGGAAAGAAAATAATTAAATAAATGTAATAAGAGACACATATTTTTCCCCACAATGAATCACTGCTAGCAGGACTACCACAAAAGTGTGCTGTGAGTTTTTCACTTTGCTATTTTGATATAATTGGCATCTCTCTCTCTCTCTAAAGGTCACAGCTAGCTTCACCAAGCACCACAGAGCGGCTGCCACAAGCGGGGCCGAGCAAGGCGGGGTGGATATCCTGCGAGACATACGACTGCAGAAGACGTGCAGCCCAGGCTCCACTGCCCCTGTCACAGCTGTGTGCACCCGATGTTAAACCAGACGCTGAGCAGCACCCGTGCGTGCTGACCAGTCCCACCCGTCGCTATCACTCTGGCTGGAGTGGAAATGCCCCCGAGCATTTCGCCCCTGTTTTAGGTCATGTGCTGAAGTCCCCTTGCGAGCAGGCAGGATGTGGTGAGCAGCAAAGCCGACAGGCGTAGCCCAGCTCGCTTTTCTATCTCACTTGAATTTAAGCTTTGCTTAGCATGATTGATGGGGCCCGGCTGTCAGGCTGCAGGCACAGTCAGCATTAGTGCCTTTGAGGAACTCTGCAGCGGAACAACGAGTGTCATCTGTAATCACAGCAGTCCCCTGGTAATCCCGATATAACTAAATCAGAGCAAAGCTCAATTTCGGAGGCAGGGAAGATGAACATATCTTCAATGAAACATAACTTTGCCTTAGCGTACATACGCCAGGAAAATATTTGCTGGGCAGTAAAAGCCTCCTAAAGTATTAGGAAGGAGGATGGCACAAGTTGCAACCTTGTAAGGGAACAATTATAGTTTCAAGGATATGGTGCAATTTGTTTTTACATGTAAAAGTGGGATCTGAGGCTCAACTGCAGCAGCATGCAGTGTTTTCAGTAGAAACCACATGTGCAATCACACACAGACTGAGGTGCTTACAGGAATATCACTGGCCCACAACGAAGTGAAACCAAAATTACTTATCTATGAAAATCACATTCAGACAGCACATTTATGTCTTTGGTAAGCAAAGTAATCTTTGCATTACAGTCAGAGGAAGTGGTCCTCTGCCACAAAGTATGAAAGGCTCAAAACAGGAGTCGCGCTGGTCCTGCCAAGCCAGCCTGCTCTGTGCTCCCAGCCCTGTTTCCTGGTTTTTAGTTCTTCCTTGGGCTGCTTTAGTTCTGTCTGGGTGAGGACAGAGCACGGCTCGGGGCTCTCCTCAAGCCGGGATGTTTCAGAAAACACCTGCTTGCTGTTGCGTGGAGGCGCGCACAGGCAGACAGTGGTGTAGCCCAGCGTCCCAAAGACCTGTGACTGCACGAAGGCTTTCTGCAGGTCGCTCAGACTGCCAGCAGACATGAGCTGGGAGGCGGATGGGCGCAGGGATGATCACACAGCACAGCTGGCTGCAGGATGGGGATGTATCATTATCATGGGACATGTACAGAGGATAAAGCCCTGACTGAATCTCGGGCATGGTCAGGAGGCACTTTACCAGGCTGGAAACGTTTCCATTTGAGGACTGCACGCATGGCATACAGCAACCAGCACCCAAATGGGTGGGGAGCTGCGTCTCCCCCTCACCTGCCACGGGAGGCCTCCTCCTGCATCCCCTCCTCGGCACCGCTGGGCACTCTCCCTAGGCTCTGACATGGTGTCGGGGTCCGGTGTAGAGTCCTCCGTGCCCGCTGAGGTCTCCAAGGTGAGGGCCAAGCCGATGAGCTGCCGGACGCTGTGCTGCAGGCGGCGCTGCCAGGCTCGCTCTGCTTGGCTGTAGGGTGGCGAGGGGGCCAGGGGGGCCGGGACCAGCAGGGTTGGTGTGGGCTCAGGCAGCCCCCTGTCCCCGAGGGTCTTGGCACCACTGGCAGGGCCGGGGGGAGCTTCCTCGCCAAGGGTTTCTGGCTTGACAGCGCGTAGGAGTACTTCAGGAGCATGTCCACGTTGGAGTGCAGGTGGATGTCGGTGGGCGAAAGAGAGGCCTGCTCGGGTGCTGGGGAGAGAAGAGGACAGGAGGGCTGGGGAGCAGAGCTGGCCTCCCTGTCTGCCCTTCTGGAGGTGGAGGGCAGCTTTGGGGCCAGACAGAAAGCTGCCTCCTCAGAGCTGCGGCCAGTCAGCACACGTGCTTCCTGCTGCTGCACTTAATGCATACACATGTGGGACTGGGAAGGTTTCTGCCAGTCTTCAGACCCTTCACAGAATCACAGAAGGGCTGAGGCTGGCAGGGACCTCTGGAGGCCATCTGGTCCAACAGCCATACCTCCATCTGTAGGAGAGCTTTCCTCCTTCACCTGGAAGCCCACAGCATGAAGCCTCTCTGCTGGACGAAGAAGGCCTTTTGGAGGAGAGCCACTCGGACACGGGATTCGCTGAGTGGGAGAGAAAAACAAGAGTACTACCGTGCCCTCCTCCTTCCCTTCTCACCCCAACCTGGGACCCTGTCTCCTAAAGCTGGCACCTTCCTTCTCCCAGGAGATGCTGGTACCTCCCAACCCCAGCCCCGCGCCTCACCTTGATGTAGAATTTGCGCTTGGAGCAGCGGTACTGGGCGAACTGGCAGAAGCTCTGGAACCACCGTGCCTCCGGGACGGCAGAGCAGACAGGTCCTAGGGACAGGTGAGAGACAGGGCAGGTGGGGACAGGGTTAGGGATACGTCCCTTGGCCTGAGCGTGAAGACTGGCACCTCTCAGATGCTTATTTTCAGAGCACGCTTGTGGTTGAACGGGGAGTCAGAGGTGTCTGCCCCCATGTGGAGATCACGGCGTTGTGCTGTTAAAACCACCACCATTTCATGCCACTTGTTTCCCTACACACCACCTAGGGGTTCGGTACACCCCCAGCCCAGCTACATGCAAGCAGGTGGAGAAAACTTTAGAGAGAAGAGCATCTCTTCAGCATCCTTCAGAAAACAATGTGGTGACCGCAGGACAGTCCCCTGAAGGCCTGCCAGTGAGGGTCAAGTGCAGGTGGAGATGGAGGAGTTCAGCAGTGAAATTACACCACTCTTGCTACTCTCCCAGTGTGCATTTTGTACAGAATATGCACACTTGTACATCTTTTGTTCATTATGTGAATGCCTGTTTTTCAGTCCATCGTTATTCAGCTCTAGAGGCAGCTGGAATCAGATCAGACAAAGGCACTCTAACAAGGGCCCATGCTCTTGTAGGCTCATGGCAGCCAAGCAGTGCAGGTGCAGCGGTGTCTCCTGTACTTCTGCATGCAGGAGCAGCACGTGGCAGCACCTCACCTTGTGCTCAAAGCCAGCCCCAGCACGCTGCACAGCCAGGTGCTCTCCCTCCTCCCCCCGTTTATTGCCAAGCATGTAGCAATTAGCATATCAAACTGCCCTTGAAACCAAATTTTTAGGCATTAATTGTGCAGGGACCAGAGCATCCTGTGCTGCTTTGTTTTTAGCTTAGAGTTGAATTCGGTTGTTAATTTTGGCAAAAGCAATGGACAGGATGAGAGCTACAAACATGAAAACAGTCTGGAATCAGGGAACACAGACCTTTTGCACCAAATAAGGGCAGATACGGACAACACGATGAACAAGACAGCAGTCTGCAAAGGGTGTGAGAAACATAATACATGAAAGGCAGAAAACACCAGCGTTAAGTGCACTTTGGGCTGATTGCTTGAGAAGTGGCCCTATGCCATGCAATAAGCAGGAGGCCGTAACCCTGCCTAAATCATACCTCTCCCCTTGTGCCAAGCATACAAATTCACTAGCAAGAGCAGAATTTCAGCCATCTACCAGAAAAATGCCCAGTGTGATGGGAACAAGCCTGACGGTCCCTCCGCGCTTTGCCCTTTCTTTGAATCCTCTGACCTTCCTGCCAAGAGGAGCCCTTCCAGTATTATCTGTTTAATTTAATCCATAAGATTTTTTGCTTCTTTCCTGTTCTCTTCCTGCCCATTTGCTTGCTGCAAATGGCTACAACTCTTGGAATTCAGGAGGCCACCTCTATGGGCTTTGTGGCCAAGTCTGCATGCAGGAACTCCCAGCACTGGGGGCTTCCACGGAACAAGAACAATTAATTAACAATTCCACCTTCACTGAAAGGTGGAGCCAGCCAAGATGTTTTCATACACTCATCAGGGACACATCATCCTGACTGGGTTCTTCCATGGCAAAGAACATCGAAAGGTTTTGTGTGCACTTATAGTGCTCCAAGTATCTCCAAGCACTGCCATGCCAACCGTGGTGTCCCAGAGGTCCCTGGTGACAGACATTGCCTGGAGAAGAACCAGCAGCAGCCCTGCGGCACCCAGAGCCCTGGTATCACCGACTGCAGGTGCCAGCAAGAGAGGGAGCAGCCCAGGACCTGTCCCTGGGTCTGGCGATGCGGGATGGGAACCATTCCCCTGACACAGCTGCAGAGGCAGGCAAGAAATAGTTGCCCTCAAGCTGCAGTCCAAATAAGCACAGACAGTTGGCTGATCATTCAGTTCATTGACGTTCATAGCTAAATATAAAGACATATTTTTAATGAGAAAATTGTTCCTATTTTTTTTTTTTCTCTCTGAAGAAAAATACAACAGAAGTAGTCCCAAGTTTTTCAGCTGCACAGATATAATTATGCCACTTAAATTCACTGATGCAGGGGTTCAGGGAAAGGATGATTGCAGAGATTTAAAGGGTGCTGTTGCTATGGCACTTTCTGAACTGGGATGTTTCTCCTCTACTGAAACGTTAAACACTTAAAAAAAAGCAGATTATCAGCTCATGGTTTCTTAAGGGCCTATGAGAACCTATGAATCAGGCTTCTGCACTAAACCCTAGATCTAGCTGGAAAGAAACGTTCAATTCATAAGATGAACTGTTAGGAAGCGCCAACGAGCTTCAGTGTGCTTCAGAAAAACGTGGCGGCTGTTATTTTATTTTTTTTCCCTGCCTCCCCACCACACACAGTTCAATAGGGGTGTGGAGGAACTGAAGGGCTGAGTGAAGGGCCATTGGTGTGGCCAGAGCCTCAGCCTGTTACCTGTGGACAGATGCTGGGGGAGATGCACTTGTTCAGTCAGGTGGAAGGCCCTAGTCTACAGATAGATAAGAGCAGTCTCATATTCATAGGCCTTAGTCCTCTTGGTAGGCTTCAACCACCCCAAAAAGTGCTGGAGGGACAGCAGGGCATAAGTATTTTGGGAGGTTCCTAGATTGCACCGATGATAGCTTCCTCCTCCAAGTCACAGAGGACTCAATGAGGAGGGGTGATCTGCTGGACCTCATACCCAGCAATAACGAGGGGCCTCTTAAAAGATCTGCCTCGAAGAGCCCCATAGGATCAGGCTCCAGGAGAGGGGCCCAAGAAAGCTAAGTTAATATTAAAGTTAATATTTAAGGATCACCTCCTCCAAGAGTGGTGCATTCCGATGAATAGAAGCACCAGGAGGCCTGTGTGGATGAGCAGAGCGCTCCTTACCAAACCCAAACCCAAAAAGAAAGCATACAGAGGGTGGAATTAAAGTAACCTAGGAGAAGCACTGGAAGTTGTGACCAGAGAGGCAACGAAACCACCCTTGGAGGTTTCCAAAATTTATCTGCACAGAGCAACGGTGATCTAGTGCTGGGACTGTCCTGCTCTGAGCTTGAATTTGGACCACACACCCAGCAAAGGGCCCATTCCACCACCATTCCCGCAACTTGGTGGCATTTTGGCAGCTGGTGACAGCTGGGTTGGCATCCGCCACTGCCCCTTGAGGTGGGGTGAGCCCGCACCGCCCTACCTTTGGGGACATGGCCGTGGTTCTCCTGCTGGTCCAGCCGCAGGACGGCGGGGCTGAGGCAGCCGTACACCTGCCGCAGGTGGCAGGACGCCTGGGCCTTCCAGGGTGGGCGCAGGCTGGAGAAGAAGAGCTGGTATTCGCTGTCAGACAGGGGGCTGCCTGCAGGAGGCACGGGTGCCGCGGCGGCAGACGTCAGCCAGACCAGCAGCCCTGGGGAGACAGCAGGGACTGATGTCCTGATGCCCCTGGAGGTGCCCACGGTGCAGCTTCTGCTGCCCACCCCTCCCACGTGCCCCCTTCACCACCAGCACCCCTGTCCAGCACACCAACGACCTGTGCTCCTCCGTGAGGATGTTCGTTCCTTCCTTCCCTCCTCTCCTTTGCCCCCAGCTGTGTCCCAAAGCCCTGCTGATGGCCCTGGGAGGCCGGGCAGCAGCTGGGGGGGGGGTCACTCACCCACCAGGGAGGGCAGCCTCAGCATTTCTGCCCCTCTCCTCAGCACCCCTGTCCTGCTGACCCCTCTGCTTGGTGTCCCTGGCAGCAGCGGAATGAGAAGGGGGTGGTGTCACAGCTGGAACACGGGGGGACAAGGGGACACGAGCCCCCCTGGAACCAGGGGGTGGGAAGGGCTGGTGGGCACTGGGATGAGCAGTGCGGGGGACAGCGAGGCCCAGGCTGGTGATGTGGAGGTGTGAGGGGGCTTTGGCATGGCCACACCACAAGAGATGAGGAGCAGGAGCCTGGGCTGAGAGCTGCCAGCACAGCAGACGGTGTCGGACAGCCCAAAGGAGGTGTAAGCACAGCAGGGTGCTCCTGAAGAAGTCGATCCTAGCACAAACCCCAGGAGATTCAAGCCGCTCTGCTCTGCGCAGCAGCTGCAGGGAGCACGGCGGGTGAAGCAGCTGCAGTGGCAGGGCATCATCTGCCAGCAACCCCAGCAGCCACGCAGGCCAAGAGGCGAAAGCTCAGATCTCTGCAGCCATGCACTGCAAAGGCATCTGCCGGCAGCACGTAGCTCTGCGCTTCCTTACAGGAGGCAAGACGGCGTTTGCTCCAGGAGCAGGAAGGCAGCGTTTCCAAAAAGCCAACCATTTAACGACAGCATTGAATTTTAGGGTGTTTTCACAGCTTCTTACAAACACTGAGACCATTTGTCAGCTCTCTCTTGCCACTCATTAAAACAGGTGCAGTGTAGCACTGACCTCAGTGGCTGATAGTAACTGATGACCTAGGGAAGCACATGACATGCAGTGTTATCACAAGGGCTCCTATTCAGATTTTATGGCATATAGGAACAGAAAACATGAATGAATGGGCTGGAGTCTCTGAACACACTCTGAGAGCTGAAATACAAGGCAGAAGATAAAGGAGCTGACAAGGAGATCATCCGTGGTTGATGTTCCAGTAGCTCTGCCTGTGAAGAGCTACTGCATATTTCAAAAGATGGTGTTCAGTGATGTGAGGACAGGTTGGCTGCTTTGTACTTCCCACATACTTAAAGAGGCTTGCTCAGGCCCAGAGCCCAGCTTACCTCTGCTGGTTCAGGCTGTCAAAAATCCTTCAGGAAGCTCTTATGGCCCACAGGTGCACGGAGAAGCCAGACTGCAGTGTGTACCCGGCAGGGCTGAGAGATGCTGAGTGGCTACTGGACACTTGTAAGTTTCTGCAAAGAATAATTTATCCTTGGGACAAGGATGAGGATAGGAGAGACAGGAGTTTGAGCAGGAATCATCAATGCAGCACGCTGGGTGGTGGTGGTGTCTGCTCCTTAGGGAAAGGTCTGTGAGGTGAAGCACAAGAGTGACATTAATTCCAGCATTTCCTGGGTATCTGAGATTTGAGTTGGCGCCTATAAGGCTGCACCACTACAAGCCGCATCGTTCATGCACTGAAGCAGATCTGTGACCTCATTTTCAGGGCTACCACAAGACCCAGCTCCCAGCAGACCATGTCCCTGTGCTAGTCGAGCTCAGCGAGCTTGTGTATACTGATGTAAGCCTCGGGCCTACAGCACGCCTTACTGCTGCAGTAGGTAAATACAGCAGCAGGATAGCAGCATGCAGCTGCTACAAGGAAAGAAGATGCATTTTCCATGTAGCTACCTGATTGCCGTGCCCACAAACACCACTAACAGCAGCAATGGCTGAAAACCTCTTGACAACCCCAGGGCTGTAGCTCACGAGTCCTCCTTCCTCTGCTGCAAGGGGAATATTGCCCCTTCCTTCATCGGGCTGATGGCCACGTTTGTTAGACCAGGCAGGAATTACAGAATCAGTGCCTTGCCCAGTAGCCCTGTGCTGAACGCATCCTCCTGATGGTTACAGCCCTGTGGGAAGGGACGCGGGTACCATCTCGCTCAGAGCAGGGCTGGCATCTCCATCTCCAAAGACAAAAGCATTAGGCAGTGCGATGAATTAAACCGAAATGATATGAATTGATGGCTTTAATAACAGGTTACCTAATCTTCCTTCTGAGTTGCACTTCATTTTTGTAGGTTTACTGTCACTGACTGAGAGCTATTCGAATGAGCTGATAAATATAGCCCTTACATTAAGATTAGCGCTCATTTTAACTTGGTGGATATGTTAATCTATTCACATTTATACAGGCACTGTACAGTTATAATGTGCATTAATCCAGAAAGCTAATTTACATTTTATTTTGTTAGGAAATAATGAATGAAGCATTTTTTTTCCCTTGTCATTTAGAAAATGGAAGATTTAATTGATTGCAAAAAACGGTATTTAAAAACAGGTTTCGTGAATTATTAATACAACCTAAAATGGAGTGGGCTCACATGAGAATGCTTGAATGAACTGCCCTGGTCTTTTTAGGCAGGCTTGTTTAGGGCAAGAACAACCTGACCACAGTTAGCCCTAGCGCAAGCAGGGGGTTGTGCTACAGAGCTCCAGAGGCCCCTGAATCTCTCTGTGGCAAATAATTAGAGCCCTTCAGGCTTTCAGAACAAGGAAATCTCGTTGTCTCACACTTTTTTTTTTTCTGAATGCTTGTCATTGACAGTGTGAAAAATAATTCCAACCTTTTTTTCCTCCCAGCTTGGTTTTCAGCTTTGTATGAGTTATCCCTTCAGTGGCAATGACCCAATCCACTGAAATTAAATTGTACAAAAACTACATTGTGCAAAAATTAAATCTTCAAAAAACAGCCCAAAGTAGGCAATTTACAGAACATTTTTGCAAACTAGGCTTTAGCTTAGTGTTTATCCCAGGTTTGCCTGCCCTTAAGATGTGGGCAAAAGAAAAAATGTTTTTTTTAAACGAGTGTTTTAATTTCTTTTATGCATTCGGAAGAATAAATATAAATTACCATAAATTAATCAAGATGTCGGACTATTTTTGTAAATGAAATGCATTTTGTTTGATAAAAACAGCTCTGTGTCTCCTGATACTGTAACCACTAGGCAACAGAGTTGGAGAAACTTCCTTCAGTTGTTTCTGAAAGACAGATAGCACACTTTGTTTTCTTCTGCTAGTGTTTAACTCTATGAATGTGTTACCCAAGAAAAGTTAAACACTTGAGGTCAGCTTATGAATAGGTGTCACCTCCCCTTTGGAAGCCCAGTGTGTTCCAACAGTAAAAAGCTGACATGACCACAGTGGGGAAGGGCTGGCCAGGCCCTAGAGGTTCCTTCCCACCAGCATCTCTTGGACTCTCTCCTTTACATAGCAGGTCCTCATGTAGCCACAGAGCCGCTTGTAAATTTGTCTCGTGGAGGTAAGGGAATCCTTCGATTTCTCAGCAGTAGAAGTGATATGGGAGATTTGGGGCCTGGACTTGTTGAGGGATTCATGATCTTTCATGTCATTGTTTTATTAATCTTTGAAACGCAAGATCCTCTTTCTGCTCAGGCACAGAAGTAAAAACCAGACCTTTGCACATGGTCTGTTCAAGCAAAGCCTTCTGCAAGCTCCTTAGCCAGAGGTCTAAACTATTACTGACAAGATTAATGCCTCGTTGAAAGCCTTGCAGAGATGATATCGATGCCTTGGTAGTTAACAAGGAAGCAACCTGGATCAGATAGCCATGGGTAATCACAGCCAGCTCTGGTACACTGGAACATCAGGACAGGACAGGACAAAACAAGTGTATCTCACACCAAGTTTGAACCAAGGCATCCTTTTACTTCAGAAGTTTAACCTCGGGTGTTTGCTGTTCCCTTGTGCCCATCACCAGCACTGCTGAAAGCATTAAGTTCAACACCAGCTGATCTGGGACCCTCTTTTCTGTGCTGCCCAGTGTCAGGAAAAGAGCAATGGGCACACGCTGGAACACAGGAGGTTCCCTCTGAACATTATTAAGCACTTATAAAATGTCGTAAAATTTAACCCCCCAAAATCTAAGTGAATACATGATTAAGAGCGCTTAATTAAAGCTATTGCTGAGCAGTGGTGACTGTTTTAATCACTTTTAGATGTGTAACTGGTGACGAAAGCCGTGCTGGTCCAGGGTGGCAGCTATGGCTGGCACAGTTTCTACACACCCTGCGCGTGGCAAAACCCACACAAGAGAAGTCCCAGGGATGAGAGATTACTGAAAATGTGCTCACTGCAAATGAGCATAATTTGCTAGACAGTCTTATCAATCACGCTTGCCCAGCTAACCTAGGAGTGATGCCCACCATTAAGACAATTAGAGCTGGAGAAGATAAACCAGTCATTCGTGTGCACCATCAATTTTTATCAATAAATTTGCTTAAAGAGGCTGGCAAAAGTCTTACCTCTTGCAGTGCTGCATGGCTCCAGCTTCTTGAAACTGAGCCTTGCCTTTACTTATTACTTATTACCAATCAGTCTGAGAGGCAATTTCACCAGTTCCACTTTCGAGGGTGGTTGTGTTTCGTTGACAATTACTCCAACAAAGCTGCAAGTTACCCAGTTCTTTAAAGGAGTTTGTGATTATTTTAAGAGAAGCATTACAATCACAAACTTGTAGGTGAGATGAACTTTTGGATGCTTGTTCCAGTGATTATAACAGTGCTACAGGCGACTATTTAAAGCAGCCTTTTCAAAAAACCGTATCAGGTCATTTTGACAGACTTTTCTGGTTGTTGTTTGTTTTTTGTTTTGCTACTTCTAGCCAGAACAATTTAATTTTATTGACCTGGAATTCTTGCTTGTTTTAAAGAGAAGCGATTTGCTTATTTGGTGTGTCAGTATTTCGCATCTAGACCGGTACTGGCTGCTGTTAGCTGACCTGCAGCAGTCCTCCTGACGTCCTTAAAGCCCAGCACAGCGCTGTCTCTTCTCTGTCCTTGCAGGCTTTCCCTAGCACTCCAGAAACTGACAGAGAGCAGACCACGGGTGCCTTCAGGCGATTTTCACAGGGCTACAAATGCCATTTGCTGAAGATCACTGATCAAAATTGTTCACCCCAGTGGATGCTATTTAAAATCCCCCTCACTGTTTGCCTGGGAAGTACATCATCCTAATATGACACCAGCACCAACACAGAACAAATATT